GTCTGCCTGTACCTGCAGGAGGGGAGAGTGGTCCCAGGTCAGGGGGGCAGGCGGAGCCCCCCCCGGTCCCCCCCCACCCTAGGCACTCACCTCACCACGATGCCAACGAAGAGGGCGATGCCCAGGAGCAGGCTCCCCCCAGCCACCAGGAAAGCGTAGGGGGATGCCACGGAGTGGGTGCTGGCTTCCACGATGTCCCCTGCAGCAGAAAGGGGGGACGGGCTCATTGTGGGAACAAGGGACCCAGGGGTCCTGGCCCCCTGCAGTCAACCCAGGGACCCCTCCTCACCACCAGCACCATCAGCAGCATCTTCCCCGAACAGCTCAGGGGGCAGCGTGACCCCGTATGTGCCATCCTCCATGGGGAACTGCAAGAGAAAGCAGGGGGGCGTGATGGGATGGGGCAGCCCCCCCGACCCTGGTGTCCCCTTATCCCACATGGGGACACGAGACCCAACCAGGAGCGTATCGTGTCCCCCCCAGGGCTGAGGCCATACTCTACCTGTGAGCTGAAGGGGCCCATTTCAAAGGTGAGGTCCCTGGGGTCTGCAAGGTGAGGGGGGAGTGTGAGGCTGGAGGACCCCGGGCCAAGTCCCTGGCCTCAGGGCCACATGTTCCTCTCCTACCTGTCCAGGGCGTGCCCACCGCCTCCTGGCTCCACTCGCTCCACGTACCATGGCCGAACTCCTCCTGCGCCCGCACCTGCACCACGTGCTGCGTCCCTCGCCAGGCGTCATGGATGTCCAGCCACGTCGTTGTCACCTGGTCCACCTGGAGGGGTCATAGGCAGCATGTGGTTGGGGACAGCCTCGCTGGTGCCAGGGGACAGCCACATGCAGGGGAGAGGGGTCTCACCTCCGTGAAGGTCTGGGCGGGCTCGGGGCGGTAGCGGACCTGGAAGCGGAGCCAGTAGAAGCGGGGGTCCCAGGATGAGGGATAGGACCAGTTGACCCGCAGCCGCTGTGGCGCCTTCTCCAGCGCCTCCACCGTCACGTTGAGGGGGGGGTCGGGCTTCACTGCCAGGGAAGGAGGGGCTCAGGGCCCAGCACCATGCCACTCAGCCTGCCCCGGCCCCCAGCAAGAGGGGAGCTGCACTCACAGACGCTGCTGAGGGTAATGATCCTGTCCTCACCAGCCGAGCCACCGGCACCGTTGTTGACACACGTGGACACCACGAGGGGTTTGGTGTCGTCAGCACCGGGTGGCACCTTCACCCGGCAAACAAACTTCCGTGCCTTGGAGAAGTAGCGGCACTGCTGCTCCGTGGCATTCTCAGCTACGAACCTGTGGGGACGTGGCTTGGCTGGGGCTGCGGCACACACTGGGCACAGGGCAGCCCCAGCTGGCGTAGGAGAAAGGGTCTGTGGGGAGGGACAGTAAAGTCCCCTGCGTCCCGTGCCACGGGGTCCCAGCCCCAGGTAGGTGCCAGGACAGCACTCACCTCCGCTTCACCCAGAGCATCGCCCGTGTCCCTGGGGATGGCTTTGCCCGCAGCGGCCACTCACACAGGACGTCTTTGTCGTGGCTCCGCCGGTAGCAGGAGACCCGGGGAGTTTCGGGGGGCTCTGCAAGGCACGGAGACGCTGGGGGATGGGGGACGCCAGACTGGGCGATGCTGCGAGGGAAGCCCCCGCCCCAGCGCGGACCCACCTTCCACCAGCAGCCGCAGGGAGCGCAGCAAGCGGCCCCCCACATAGCAGCTGTAGCGCCCTGAGTCCTCGTAGCGCAGCCGCCGCAGGAGCAGCACGTTGCCCTCTGCCAGCCGCCGGCTGCGGCCTCCCACCACCGCCGCCCCCCGCTCCTCCACCTGCCAGGACACGGTGACGTTCACTGGCCCCTTGTCCTGGCAGGTCAACGTGACGTTCGCTCCCGGACGTCCCGGTACCGTGTCCCGTGAGAGCCCTGGGGGTACAAGAGGGGGTCAGGCAATAGAGACGAGACCCCAGGCCCCGCGAGTATCCCCAGAGGAGGGGGGCACCCCACCATCTGCTCCCCATGCCCAGCGGCTGCTCAGTGTCAATATTTGCAGGAGGCGGGCCCCGAGCCGGAACAAGCGGCAGCTTCTGCTGAGCCAGCGATTCCCCATCGAGCCTGGGCACCGGCCCCCCAGCACCACCCCAGGGACGGCCACTGCAGCACCCGGTCTGGGTTGCGAGTGGGGGGGATCCGGCAAGTGGGACCTGGCCGGGCAGCGTGGGGAGCAGAGAGCTGGGCTCTGGGAGAGCTGCGGGCTGG